CAGGATCAGGCTATAGACTTTGGAATCCAATAAATAATAAAATAATTATTTCTACAGATGTTATATTTGATGAAGATAAAACTGTATATAAAAAAGAAATAGAAGAAGAATATTTAATAAAAATAAATAATGAAAGCAATGGAATAAAGACAATATATGAGAAAACTAAAAACGATAGCGAAATAGAGATAGAAGAATGTATAACAGAAAATAATATCAATAATAATGAAAATAGAATAAATTTAACCGATGAAGAATCACAAAAAGACTTAATTTATGAAGAAGCTGAAAATAATGGAAATACATCAAGATATGGAAGAAAAATTACTAAACCTAAACAACTACAAGACTATGAATTATATATGGCATATTGTTTGATTTGTGTGAATGAAATTATACCAAAAGACTACAAAGAAGCAGTAAATGACAAAGAATGGCAAGCAGCAATCAATAAAGAACTAAAAGCTCATGAAAATATACAGACATGGACAGAAGCAGAGTTGCTTACAGATAAAAAACTAATTGACACTAAGTGGGTCTTTACTATAAAAGAAAATGGACTGAAAAAGGCGAGACTAGTAGCTAAAGGCTTCCAAGTTGTAAACAATAATTATTTTTCAAGCAATTATGCTCCTGTACCTAGAATGAGCACAGTCAGACTATTTATGGCTCACTCAGTACAAAAAGACTACCCCATTCACCAGTTGGATATACCAACAGCTTTTCTAAATGGAAAATTAAAAGAAGATATTTATATAAAAGTACCAGAAGGAGTAGTAGCAAATACAAAGACTCTAAAATTAAATAGAAGTTTATACGGTTTAAAAGAGAGCCCAAAATGTTGGAATGAATGTTTTAATAATTTTGTTTTAAGAACAGGACTTAAAAGGTCAGACTTTGATTTTTGTTTATACTATAAAAACAATATATGGTTATTAGTATTTGTCGACGACATTTTATTAATGGGAGAAGAGACATCTGTCGAAACAATGAAACAATTGTTATATGTAGAATTTAAAGCTAAGAATCTTGGTCATATAAAGAAATTTCTAGGAATGGAAATTGAAAAAGTTAATAATAAAATTAAAATAACTCAGACAAGACAGATAGACAAGATGTTAGAAAAGTTTCATATGACAGAATGTAATGGAACAAAAACACCTATGGAAAAACAACTTCAGATTGACATAAATAAAAAAATAATAGATGTTCCATACCGAGAATTAATAGGAAGTTTAATGTTTATAGCAACAGTATCTCGACCAGATATATGTTTTTCTGTGTCATATCTTAGCCAGTTTCTTGATAAACCTACAGAAGAATGTTGGAAACATAGTAAAAGAGTATTAAGATACTTAAAAGAAACAAAAGATAAAGGACTTTTTTATGAGAAGAGAATGGAAAATATAAACTTAAAAGCTTATTCAGATGCTGATTGGGCAGGAAACAAATTAGATAGAAAAAGTGTTAGTGGAGGTGTGTTTATGTATCAGGGAAACATAATACATTGGTTTTCCAGGAAACAGAATTGTGTGGCCCTCTCCACCGCAGAGGCGGAATATATAGCAGCGGCTACGACGGCCAGCGAACTTCTAAACCTAAAAGGATTATGTAGAGACTTTAATAATTGTGAAGTGGAATGTGTATTATATATAGATAACAAAGGAGCTATAGAAATGGCAAAATCATATGAAAATAGCAAGCGAACAAAGCACATTGACATTAAAACTCATTTCTTAAAAGACCTAGTAAATAAAAAAGAATTAGTAATTGATTATGTTTCATCTAACGATAACTTAGCAGATATTTTAACAAAAAGTTTATGTGTAGAGAAATTTATTAACTGTTGTGAAAAACTTCATATACAATATTAATCTTTATTTTTAATATGTTATATTTAGAAATAAGTAAATAAAGCATACTGTATTAGTGAATAAGTTACTATGTAAATTCTTATAATTATTTGAAATGCCTAACAATATTTTGTTTATGATTGTTTAAACATTTTCTAAATAAGTTTATTATTATATAAATAATATAAGTTTGTTAAACTTGAGAATTGAGAATGCTTCACATTCTTATAACATGTATAGAAAGTATCTAATAACTTTATTGTAAGCTAGAGATAAGTAAATATTTTGTTAACCGATTTGAGATGCTTCACATTATCAAATCGAGGCGGAGTGTTAAGAATGTATAAGTTTATGCTTTTGCCTACTGTCAGTCTATGGTAATAAAAGTAATATATAGATATTGTCTGTGGAAAATATGTGAATAAAAAAATGGCGTTATAAAACTATTACTTATTATATTATAAATAAATATCCTCAACAACACTGCTCACGTCTATAGGCGACGGTTATTGCTTTCCATCTGGTTGGCCGTCAGCTTGTTTGCCTTTCTAAGTTGCATAAAATAAAAGAAAAAGGTACACATATAGTCAACATAATACTCAGATACTTATGTCCCATTCAGATTCTGTCCACAAACAGCTATATTTGCATGATTGTGTTATGGATTGAAGCTTAGTAAATGAAGTATATATAGACTGGCAATGTAAAAGAGAGAAAATATAATAACCTATATATTAGAACGAGATAGCGACATAGGCCAGTAATTTGCACAATATATGCTCGAAGCTGATTTGGCGGAAGCATGTAAAAAAAAAAATTTCGAATTATTTTTACGTTTTGAATTGGAATCCGTTTTAAGTGAATGCAGTTTGTTAGAATGAAGTGTTCTGAACCTGAATATAAAATAAATTAGGAAAATAAACTACAAAATTGTAAATTTTTCATATAATTACACTGTAAATATTTATACATTTAAACGTAATATTCTAGAACAATCAAAAACATGTTGTACAAGAATTGGTAAGAGAAAAATAATCTAATTAAATCCAAATAAAGTTTCAAACGTCCCTGAATCAAAACTAAAATTGGAACAAATACGTGAAATTTTGCTATTTTTTGCAACTTCAATTCTTTAAAAAGTCATCTGTCACGTACCGTATTTATTAAATACGCACACTTTCTGGTTTCGTTTTTGATATATATATATATATATATATATATATATATATATATATTTAACAAAGTATGTTTGTATTAGCACAGAACTTATCATTGCTTCCTACACTAGGCTGAGCCTGTCCTGTAGGAAGCAGAACTCGTGTTAACACATACATGCATATAGATATTAAACATAGGCTTTTTAGCAGTACTGACAATTGTGTAACTAATTTGTCTATGGTTTGAAGGGTGATATACATATATCAATATAACTACCTATAGCGCAACACTATAGCCCTCAGGAATGGTAAGGCATGACAATACCATGGGCATTACAGAGTATTTTATGATGTTCATAACGCTATATCCATATGATTGTTACCTCTTTCCATTAGATGAGTCGTTAGCTTGTTTGCGATTCGGTGACGTATTTATGACCTAAGAAATCTTTTTTTATGACCACTGTTTGGATCATAGTCTAAGTGCTCTTCATGTCTATAGATGACAGTTACCACTTTCTATCAGCTTGATTGCCGTTTTTGATTGTATAGTTAAGTAAGGTCATGATAAGTATTTTTTTTATACCACTATGGTGGCAAACAAGAATACGGCCCATCTGACTGTAAACGGAGTTACTGTACCCCATGTAAGCCTGTAACAGCAGGAATGTCACACGCGCCGACTTAAGACCGATCCTTAAGAAAGCTTAATAATAAATAATTAAAAATAAATGCAGTAAAATTTTAATAATGCAATTTTTTCCCGTCTATTGAGAGATTCGTTGTGGAACCATTTGTTTGTTGTTTCGCTGAAATTACAAACGATCTCTTTTGAGTGACGAAACGGGAAATTTAATATTGTGACGGTTCCGAGTGTACCTTTGTGGTACAATGGGAATAAAAATATACATATAAATTATATTTTCAATACTTTTCACTGCATAATTGCATTTCTGCTTTGCAAAGGTTGACTGGGGCGAATGCTATTGTATATAGCATTAAGTCCGTCTTTTGTCTTTAATTTTTTTTTGTAATATGATCGATGAAAAATAAATTCCAGAAAGGAATATATGTACATATCAGGTTTGTCTATGGTTTATTTATAAAGGTGTTGTTATAATTATGATTTAAACAATAAATTGTAATGGGTTTTATCGATTTAAACATCATCATATCGGCCTTTAACTGTCCACTGATGAAATGTTCAGCATCTTCCCCCATAAGAGGGGTTTTATTAGCAGTCCTCACTCTTGGCAGGTGGGTTTTATGATGTTTTAAGAGGGACGCTGCTGTTTATCCCTCGACCATTAAGTTCTCTGAGTCGCCTCTTACTTACACCTATGGAAAAGAAAGGGGTCGCCAATTCCACGCCGGTTTGTCGATTTATTAAAATGAAATTGTGAAATAAATATAATAATTACTTCCTTCAAGAAAAGATTGAAATCTCACATTTTAACTAATAATACATGATAATACTATGCATTTACTATTATATGTGTTATACATATGTATTGTTATATATATTTATTTATTTACAATTAGTATATGTTTGTTTTATTTATATTATTTTTACCTGTACCTTTCCTGCACTAGATTACCCGCCAATTAATTATTTTCTCTCCAACTGCACTGTGTTGGCTGGAAGATATCTCTTTTAGCGATTAGCCCATCCTTGCTAACAAGTTGTTTAACTAATCGCTGTATCTTTAGTTCAAGTGCAATAAAGATATTCAAAATTAACCTTTTTATATACTTTGACAATAGTTTTTTTTATAAAAAAGAAAATTGATAAACAATTGAAATGAAAACAAATATACATACAATACATCAAGTCAACACACGGTAATTTTATTTACAATTAAATATAATATATAATAACATGAATCAGCATATTTTAGAAACAAAAGAATATATATATATAATATATATATATAAGAAATTGTACATTATATATAAGGTTAACAATTTTGAGAAATGAAAGCAATCATAATAATATTGTATTAATTATATTTCATAAAAACAATTCTTCTATCGAGTCCTACTTAAAACATAAAAAAAGAGACATCACATTTATGGTGGTATGTTCACATTATAATCAATACGATATCAGGAAAAAAATCGTAAAATAATTAATTCTTTCTAAGGTAATTAATTATAATTTAAGCAATTTCTATTAAGTAAATGAATTAGAAATTTTTTCTAATGAAAAATTTCACATATTACATCAAAAAGAATTTCATTCAGAAATTAATAACAGATTTAAGTTTTTTTTTTATATAATAATTTATAATTTTATAAATTTAATTTATATTATATATATTTTTTTCAATAATCTACTTATTATTATTATTTATTTAATTTTTAAACTTATATTATTTTTTTTATAAGATGTCTATATTCAAGTGTAAAGGGAAATAAACAAATTCACTTTGTTTTTTCAAAAAATAAACTTACAAAATTTATCATAAACTTCGTGTCTATAATTTAATTCTTATACAGATGGGAATTAAAATAGTGACTAAGGATAGCTATAGCATTCAGTCACTAACCTTGCTTGCAGGGGGGAAAGGAATTGTTAGCAATGGAGTTTGACAGCCCCATTGCTGGCAATATGCCCTATTAGGTCGACATACACGTGGTTCCCCTTGGAAACCATCGTGAACGATTCTTGTTGAATTCGTCACGATTGGCTAGCTGACCTACTTCATCCTCACCTATCATCCTTCACTGGTGCCCCGCCAGTGTATACCGATAGCGCGGGTGGGGTTACCATTCCATTATCATCCATTAAAAAAAATACCTTGCTTGCAGATTCTATTTATCTTGCAGTTGAAAGACAGAAGGAAACTAATGAACAGCAATCGACAATAACATTTAATCGGTATTTAATATTTTACAATAGATAGGATTTGTAAAGACAGAAAGATAGATGTCAGATAAACTAAAACTCCAAACGTCACCAAGTTTCTAAATTATGCAAACGAAAAAGAGTCTTAATTTTATATTGACGTAAAAATTGTTGGCGCGCTTAAAAGGTGGTAGCGGAATGAATCGCTACAATAGTTAGCGTCCTTTGAAGGGAGTATCCTGCTAGTAAAATTGCATATTTTCACTAACAAAATATGGGTAGAAAAGACATGAAATTTTGAGTAAGACTAACACGATGCGTCCAGCTGTTAAGTTAGTACGGGAAACTCAAAATAATTTGTTCTTTATTAAAATTTTTGATTCACGAAATTTCCCCTCTACTATCTATTATACTTGTATTCTGTCCTCAGCTTTATATGGATAGATAGATAGAAAGATACGTTAGTATTTTATGTATGCTTTAAATGGTCAAATATTTTTTATACTAAGGATTACTTTTTTTGTAATTTTTGTATCGATATCTTTATTTTTAAATAATATATATTTCACTATATTATTTGCTGATAAAGTAGCTTTCTATAGGTGAAATAATTTTTAAAATTACTTCATTAGTTTTTGAGTTTATCCATTACAGACAAACAAACAAATCTTTCTTCTTTATACTATTAGTAGGTCATATGTTGATTTTTATTTTCACGTACCGCTTATGGTTTTGATATCATCCTGTAGATAGCTAGGTAGGTACATAACTTACAATTAAATAATGTTATTTAATGTAGGTACTTAACACAAAGAAGGAGTTTTATATAAATGTCTATCAAGTCTGACTAGAATCGTTTTCCACTTTGGCGTCCTCGTAACCTTTGACCAGATTCTCTAATATGAATTTTATCGTTAGTTTGTATATGTTTTCAATATTTGGCGTGTATCTATCACCCAGGGTCGTTTTCGCTGCTTCCAGGAAAGGCTTCTCGACTTTCTGTAAAAGAATAATATTAAATTAATAAATACTATGGAACAACGCCATCTAGCTGAAAATTAAGCAGTTTGTACAGTATAAATTAGATAATCGATAGATGTGTACTTTTCAACCGACTTAAAAAAAGAGGAGGTTCTCAATTTAATTTAAATTTTTTTATGTTTATTACCTCGTAACTCCGTCATTTATAAACCGATTTAGAAAAATAAAACTCTTTTTATCTGAAAAGTTATACTTTCACATTAGTTGCATTTCCTATCAATTCACGTTCAATTTTACCAAAATCGGTCTAGTAGTTTAGTTTTTAAATCAAATGGTTTAGCGACAATTGAAGTCAGTGGTTTTTGTAAAACAAAATCCTAAATTATGTAAATACATACGTTCCGTTTTCTTATCCAGACCAATACAAACAGACATACACATAAATACAAATGTTTATATTAACCAGGAATCGAACCTGCGATCACAGGTGAGCGGTATCATACTCCGCCTCACAACCAATGATGCCATTATTGTGTTTGTGATTATTATGAACCAGCATGTGTTAAAACGTAACCTATCAAACCAATCAAACTTTATTCAAATCCGCACAGCCGTTTTGCTTGATTGATAATAACAAACATACAAAACATCACATTTATAATATTAACATGATCAACTACTCCATGTTCCTTTAAGGTTAAGGTCAATGAACTAATATAGTCCAATAATATCCCTATTTGGGGAAAATGGAATTTTGCAAATACCTACTAGATATACATACATGTTTTTTACGTTCTAGCTGTGACGTCATCATTCTTTTATAGACGAATAGTTTTCGACAAATAGGCAATTCAGGCATACATGAATAGTTGAATACGTAATAGGTACTTTGGCCTATTTTTATATAAGCCGATTCGGTTATGTACAGGTAGAGCGTGCTACTATTGATTGAGGGATTGAGGGAGACTTTGTACAAAAGTCGATTGTTTGGGTACGTCTGTCCCATTCGTGTTTCAACCGAGCAGCAGTTGTGTTTGCATAGCTGTGTTTCGGTTTGAAGGGTGGGATATGCCGTGAATTTACAGGGTACAGAGGAATAACAACTGAGTCCTCAGGAATGGCAACACATGGGGGTATCATGGGCGAAATAGTATACTCTGTTATGTCCATGGTACTGCTCATGTCTATAGACGACCACCACTTTCCATCAGGTGGGTCGTCGGCTTGTTTGCTATTCTAAGTTGTATAAAACAAAAAAAAAATTAAGGGGTAACAAACAAATAAACACACTTTCATATGTTATAAACCTTAGTATAATATGGCATAACTAGCCAGCTTTCATTATAAGTAAAAGTAGCGTTCATATCTTGGTAAGGTCGAACAAAAGAGAACTTCGATTGGAAAGAAAATATCCTTTGCGACGTAATTCCATTGGAGGTAAGTACATCAAAGTGTTTCTCAGTTCACATTTCGCATTCAGCCGCGACCTCTCAGCGTAGACGGGAGATTTTGAAGGCAACGCAATTAGATGTTTGGTTTTGTGTTAATTGGAAATATAACGTTTCAAAAACATCAATGGATGCAACAAAATGATCTTGTTATTTGTGAAAACGTCAAATCCTCTATAAGCCTGTTTTGAAGTGACTTCAAAAAGAGTTTTTTTTTTTAATGTTTGTTACCTTATAACTCCGTCAGTTCTGAATTGATTTGACAAATTCTTTTTTTTATTTAGAATATGCTTTATGTATGTATATATTTATTTATTTAATATATATGGTGTATGTTTATATTAGTCTAATTATATGTTTATATTATATGGATATATCAAGTATTGCTTTATTTTTCCTCTTTTCAATAATGCACCGCCTACGTATTTCTATGTTTGCCCAATGGTTGACTGGTAGAGAACACCGTTCGGTGTTAAGTCCGCCAAATGTACATAGAATTTTGCTGTGCATTAAAGTTTAAATAAATAAATATACTATTATAATATAATAGAAAGGATATACCCACAGATTGGTTTCATAGACATTTTGTTACAATGGAAGTCTGTTTACTTTGTGGGAAACAATCTTTAATTTACCGTGTGTTCCCGGCATAGAATAGGCCACCGCTTCCTTTCCTGTAGAAAGTCGTAAGAAGCAACTAAGGGAGGGCGAGGGTAGTAGCGTCCCTCTTAAAACATCTCCAAAGCCTAACTGCGGTTGCCATTCCGCCTGCCAAGTGTGGCAACTACTGGCAAAACCCCTAAGGTGAGGTTTATGATCAGCAATAGACAGTTAAAGGCTGATTTAATAATTTATAACCATTATACTGTTTTGCCACTTTATTTTAAACTAGTAATTTAGTGTAAAAAAGAGATAAAAACAGTTCAATAGCTAAAATAGGTTTATAAGAGGCTTGACGTTTTTATGAATAAGGGGAATAATGTTTAATGCAGATATATTTTGTTCAGAAAGAAAAAGGCAATTTCAATCATGGTCACACATACACACGCAAGCACGCACGCACGCACTCATGCTCGTATGCACGCACGCACGCATGTAGTCTCCATCTAGTAATAAACCTATTTGAATTTAAAACACCGTATCATGTATTGTAGACTTTACAATATAAAGTTTTTTATAGGTATTTTATTATGTTGAATTTATTATTATATTTATTATTTTGAATTGTTCAATTGTCATTGTATATTTTTGTTTATGGTGCAATAAAGAGTTAAATTTAATAAATAAACGAATATCTGTGGTTTAATATCAGCTTCACAACGTAACAAACTCACTTTCCCTTTTATAATATTGGTAAGAACTCTCACCCAGAAGTTTTCAGGTTTGAATCCTGGCACCTGGTGATGTGTGGCGCCCACGTGTCTTATGTACGCGAAGAACGCGTCAACATCACCCAAACCCTTGATGCCTTCGTCCAGTGTGTGCATCACCTTTGTGGCGTGCTCGGCTAGTTCCGTGGACATCACCTGCTCCTCCTTAGTCTTCAATTCGCTGAATTTCTCGAACAGGTTTAGGAGGTCTTGGTTTTCTTCGAATAATCTGTAATATGTAAAAAAGTATTAGTTACCAGAGGGAAACTTTGTACTGTGTTTCTACTGTGTTTCAACTACATATCTAGGTTTTGTTTATAAGTTCAAACATATATACAAAAGTCGATTGCTTGGGTACCTCTGTCCCATTCGTGTTTCAACCGTGAAGCAGTTGTGTATGCATGGCTGTGTTTCGGTTTGAAGGGTGGGATATTGTACTGCTCATGTCTATAGGCGACGATTACTACTTTCCATCAGGTGGGCTTGTTTGGCATTCTAAGTTGTATAAAAAAAAAAAAAAAAACAATTTATCCATCTAAATATTTATGAAATAAATAAACACTAACCTTTTTATAAAAACATCAGAGCTCTCAAATGTATTTTAGCCATTGAACTGTATTGCTTCTTTCTTTTACACTAAATTCCCAATTTGAAAGTAAGTGACAAAACAACGAAATACTTAGATATAATAATATTGTAATTAAATAATGTTTGAACTTATTTATTCATTTTACATACTTGGTATAACTTTAACAGCGATTCCTACATTAAGCACTGGGTTCGTATCGTCGGAATTTATTTATATATAAAGTAATTATTGAAAAGCAATATTGAATGATACTTGAAACTAGATCTATAAACCACCGTACAACCCGCCACAAACTAAAGTTTCATCCCAATCATCTGGACGAGTGGCAGTCTTCCACCGTGCATTTTTCAAGGCACTTTCTTCCACGCACAATCATTCTTTGGAATCAACTTCCAGCAGCAGTATTTCCGAACTGATACGACAACATAACCTTCAAGAAAAGAGTATATTCCTTTTTAAAAGGCCGGCAGCATACCTGCAATGCCGCTGGTGTTGTTGGTGATCATGGGCGGCGGTAGTCACTTACCATCAGGTGAGTCGCATGCTCGTTTGCTTCCAGTATTGTAAAAAAAAATTATATATGAAATACTGAAAATACTGGAAGTAGGTACAAATTAGAAAAAAATGTAACAATTTTTATTTATAATGACTTTTATACAATAACTCCATATATTTATTGTGACTTTTATATTCTTTTTACGTAAATCTTAGAATGCAAAATAAGTTAACGGCCCAACTGAGGGAAACTGGGAATTGTCTATAAAAATAAACAGCAGTATGGATATTACAGCATACACTGATGCTTATGGTATCCATCACGCGTTACTCTTCTACTCTTCTTGAGGATTATAGTGTTAACGCCCTCATAATTGTTATATTCTTTCAGCCACGCCAGCAGATTTGCTTGTAATCATACTCATACATGTACCTCATAAGTCTGTGGTTTTACATATATATATATATATATATATATATATATATATATATATATATATATATATATATATATATATATATATATATGCTATAGTGGCCACGTACTATCAGACTGGATGTATGCTTTATTGCTACTCTTATTTCTTAAGTTTGTTACACACGAGGACATTAGATATGTTTCAAATAGTATAATGGTACTTTTTATTTTAATGTATGAAAATGGAATGGTAACCCCGTCTACACTATCTATATACGCTGGCGGGGCACCAGTGAGGGATGATAGATGAGGATGAAGGCAGGTCAGCCGGTTTATTGTAAATAATTCGACAAGAATTTCCACGACAATTTCCAGGGAGAACCGCATGGAGGTCGACCTTACAGGGTGTAGTAGCAATGGGGTTACTAATCCCCATTACTAACAATCCTTTCTCCCCCCAGTACAAAAGTAGTAAGTGGCATAAAATCACACCAATTGCCTGCTTCTCAAGCTATGATACCTTGTGTTATGAGGAACCAGGTATTCATTTGGATTCACAACTCAGAATTTAGAAGATATAAGTCGATTTGACGTTTATTTTCTAAATTGACCCAATCAAGATCGAACCCGGGACCTAATTGCATAAAGCTAATAAATAAATTCGCTTTACAAAGTTCATCAAATAAGTACTAAAACAAATAGCTTCTCCAAAATGAAGTCATTACTGAAATGATGCAAACAGAACCGTCGTAATTACTCGAACAATACGTTTAAGACATTGATTTAGAAACGAGTCATTAAATTCATTACAATATATCCACGTTATATTACATCCCTCACTCCCCTAGAGCTTATCTTAACAAGTTGCGCAACATCGTAAATAATAAGCGAACGTTACACAAGTTGGTATGAAGCGGTGAAAGTATCTCATTTATCCCTCACACCCACTCCATCCGTCCCCTGTACGGGTTCGATGACCTTCCTCTGTCTAGCCGTTGTATAGGGTACTGAAATATATTTATCTTATAGGGTAGAAGCGTTAATGTAATAAGTATGGGAAATCCTATTTTCCTACCAATAAATGTTATTTTTTTTTAAAGTAATGACTATCTCCATAGTGCAGTGGTAAGCACATAGCTTCGCCTAGTGAGGTCATTCGTGGTTCGATTTTATTTATAATTAAAAATAGGAATTTTGTATTGTAACTTTTATTAATAGAATTAATTTAGTTTCAATAAAATTCCTTTTTTTTTGAGTCTTGAAGTTGTCGTCCTTATAATTAGCGCTATGAAAAATTTTGCAGGTAAATATTACCTATATACCTGCTTCTTTATTGCCGATGTTTCGATCTGGATTGCACCACGCCGTGGACAGGACCATCGCGCTAAATTCCGACAATTATAATTCCGAAAGTATTTAAAAAACGTCATATTTCAACAAATTAACACAATTTTTTTTAATACACTATCGGAACTTTACTAAACGAAAAAAAAAAACAACAAACTTAAAATTTACTAAATTAACATAGAATAATACTGAATTATACGTATAAATTAAAAATAAATGTAAACGACATCATAACCTTCAAGAAAAGAGCATATTCCTTTTTAAAAGGCCGGCAGCACACCTGCAATGCCGCTGGTGTTGCGGGTGATCACGGGCGGCGGTAGTCACTTACCATCAGGTGAGCTGCACGCTTGTTTGCCCCCTGTGTTGTAAAAAAAAAATTAACCTATTGAATCACTCAATTTATTGATAGAAACCGCATTAAAATCCGTTGCGTACTTTAAAAGATCTAAGATCGTACAGACGGCGGAAAGCGACTTTGTTTTATACTATGTAGGAATTTAAATATATCTAATATTAACACTGTTGGTTCAATTGTCACATTGGGGGGGGGGGGGGAGATTGTTGTGGGATCTAGCAGCTCCATTGGTATCAATATACCATGTCAGGTCGATCTCCACACGGTTTCCCTTATAAACCATCGTGGTTGATTCTTGAAGTTATCAAGAGCTAACTGACCTGTTTCCATGCTCACACATCATCCTTCATTGCTACCGCACCATACTATGGGAGCGTAAATTTTTTATCACTTTTAGACAAATTATTTTAAATGGTTAAGTTCGACTAAATAGTGTTCTAATGTATACTTCTTTCAAAAGATTCTAGTGGTTACGATTTCAATTTCTATTTTTTTTCACCAGATTTGATTTCACCAGAGGAAGACTTTGTACAAAAGTCGATTGCTTGGGTACCTCTGTCCCATTCGTGTTTCAACCGTGAAGCAGTTGTTTACATGGCTGTGTTTCAGTTTGAAGGGTGGGATATGGCGTGAATTTACTAGGTACAGAAGAATAACACCTGAATCTTCAGTAATGGCAACGCATGGGGGGTATTATGGGCGAAACAGTATACTCTGTTATGTCCATGGTACTGCTCATATCTATAAGCGACGGTTACCACTTTCCATCAGGTAAGCCGTCAGCTTGTTTGTCATTCTAAGTTGTATAAAAAAATCCCAAAAGGGGTAAACATAAAAACAAATGCCAAATTTCTTATCCCTGCATTTTGACATACACATTTTGTTTCATCCCCCCTACCCCCTAAGACTGTTATGAAGCATGGTATAATTACTGTACGTATTTGTTAGTAACAACGCTGAGGTATTTGATGCCAATCTCGCAATGATGTCAGGAATTTGCTTTGCATGGATATCTCAAGAATTGCTGGAACGTATCTATGTATACTTGTATGGGGTTTATGACATAACATTTTACAAATACCTGTTTCCACGTTTAGAATCAAATCTGTATCAGCTGTGCTTTTTTTAATGGATGAATGTTATTTTATGTTATTAAACGATTTTATTATTTATAAGAAGTTAAATTTAGAAAACAGCAGGAAACAATTTTATTTTTAAAGAGTGAACAATACAGATTAGACAGAATATGTTTAAAGTCTCGACCGACTATTAATCTATGTTAAACGTCAAAATAAAATAGAAGGCGGCAAATTTAAACATTACAACAATAAACATAGAATGGTAACTCCGCTTGAACTGTGGGAATACACTGGCTGGGTAACAGTTAGAGAAGATAGATGACGAATGCAAGTCAGTTGGCCCATCATGATGAGTTCGAGAAGAATTAACCACGATAATTTCCTGGGGGAACCACGTGTAGATCGACTTGATAGGGTATATTGTTAGTTGTGGGGCTGTTAGACCCTTTTTCTCCCCGTAAACCCTTCTATAATCCCTTTCCCTCGTATCAGCTCTGTTATTTTTTCAAATGTATCGTCTTTATAGACTTAGTTGGCAGAAAACCGACTGAATCACAAAAGGGAGATTTTGTGCGAAGGTTTTGTAAAAATAAATATTGAATTCAAAAATAATCCTCAAATTCGATTCACAATTGTACCCTCACCAAAAAAAAAAATACGATGGTATCCCTTATTGATGTTTTCTTAAAAGACTATCCCCATTATTAAAAAAAAATCCTTTTATAAATCTATTTTGACTATTACATTGTTTTGTCATTAACTTTCAAATTGGGAATTTAACTCAAAATAACGGGATAAAACAGTTTAATAACTAAAATAGATTTAACAGTAGTTTGACGTTTTTAATTTTTTTTTATATTTTATACAAATTAGAATGGCAAACTAGCTGACGGCCCACCTGATGGAAAGTGGTAACCGTTGCCTATAGACATGAGCAGTACCA